GAGACTGTTGTTATTGTTGCGTTCGTGCGAAACATGCATACATGGATTCGTTACAGAACTTGTCCCGGAAAACAACACTTCTGAAAAAACAATTCAATTAAAACATGAATTGTTTTAACAGTCATATGCTATCTAGTTTGGTTTACTAACTTAACGATGTAAAGTCAGTTACTTTCAGAATCAATTCACTCTCGCTATCACTCTCTCCACCCAGTTCAATTATCATTTTTTTTCTATCGACCTTGTCTCGGCTGTTCGGACATGTTGACAATCTGCTGACAAAGGCGCACCCTTCACAGTAATAGACCCAACCAGTTGTGACACGGTCTTGCAATGCATTAGTATTCACTTGATCAGGTCAAGCTGAACAACCTGTAGTTGCATTGGGCAATGCCTCAGTAGTTGCCTGTATCAACAGAATTTGAGGCACCCATTCTCAAGTCAACGAGAGAATTTCGCGATCTAGCCGACAGTCTGGATTGCAACAGTTTGGTAAGGCACATCAAAGGGAAAATCAACATCTTTGCAGATGCTTTATCATGACAAGACAAGGTCCTATAGACAGATGGGCTTCATTCAGAAACCTTCATGCCAATAACGATGAAATGGGAACAACCTCATATAAATCTGTTCACAAAATCCCTGAACAATCAATTGCAGACATATATCAGCAAAGTTCAAGATCTGCAAGCTTATGTATCGGATGCAATGTCGACATATTGTTATGATGTCATGCTATTGCACGACTGTGTACAACAATTAACATGATGTCATGTTTTAAAAGGTCAGTGTGCAACAGTTGTGATGATGTCATGCTTTGCATGACTAGCAAAGGATTGTGTGCGGGGCTTTACGCATGACGTAGGAAGTGATGACTTCAGGAAGTTTATGGCGCTCTTGGACGTCTACAGCAAGCTGACAGGATCTTTCTTCTGGGAGGACATATTCCCTCCTCTGATGTGTCTACCGACGCGCATATAATATGTGCTGGTATCATGAAGCAAGGTATCAACACAGCGTTCTCGGGGAAGTCTTAACCTGCGTCAGCAAAGGGAACTGTCCTTCTGAGGTTCATTCCTGATGTTATGTTTGCTAAAGAATGGACTTTGTATTTCGCCTATATAGACGATATATTTATTGTGGGGAAGCAACCCTTTCAAGTGCTTTACTGACGTTATCCTTATTGTGGGACTTTGTGTCGAGCCCATATCCTTTTACTACGTACTTGGAGTACCATTCGTTCCAGATGCTGCTAAATATAGCTGACTTCCAACCCTCATGTCACAGATCAGTACCACAATACCATAACCAATTACCACACCTGTACAATATCATGACAATTACCACACCTGTACAATACCATGACCAGTACCACACCTGTACAATACCATGGCCAGTACCACACCAGTCCAATACTATGACAGTACCACACCAGTACAATACCATGACGAGGTACCAACACCTGTACAATATCATGACAGTACCACACCTGTACAATACCACGACCAGTACCACACCTGTACAATACCATGACAGGTACCACACCAGTACAATACCATGACAGGTACCAACACCTGTACAATACCATGACCAGTACCACGTCAGTAAAATACCATGACAGTACCATACCGGGAAAATACCATGACGGTATATTTATTGTGGGACTTTGTGTCGGACCCATATTCTTTTTACTACGTACTTGGGTGGCCATACGTTACAGATGCTGCTAAACATAGCTGACTTCTAACCCTAATGTCACAGATCAGTACCACACCTGTAGAATACCACGATCAGTCCCACACTAGTACAATACCATGAACAATACCACAGCAGTACAATACCGTGAAAAATGCCACACCAGTACAGTACCGTGCAAAATACCACACCAGTACAATACCTTGGTCATTACCAAACCAGTACAATACCGTGAAAAACACCTCACCAGTACAATACCGTGACCGTACCACACCTGTACAATACCATGACCAGTACCACACCTGTACAATACCATGACCAGTACCACACCTGTACAATACCATGACCAGTACCACACCAGTACAATACCATGACAGTACCACACCAGTACAATACCATGACAGTACCACACCAGTACAATACCATGACAGTACCAAACCAGCACAATACCATTACAGTACCAACACCAGTACAATACCATGACCAGTACCACACCTGTACAATACCATGACCAGTAGCACACCTGTACAATACCATGACCAGTACCACACCTGTACAATACCATAACCAGTACCACACCTGTACAATACCATGACGAGTACCACACCTGTACAATACCATGACCAGTACCATACCTGTATAATACCATAACCAGCACCACACCTGTACAATACCATAACCAGTACCACACCTGTACAATACCATGACAGTGCCACACCAGTATAATACCATGACAGTTCCACACCAGTACAATAGCATGACAGTACCATACCAGTACAATATCATGAGCAGTACCACACCTGTACAATACCATCACCAGTACCACACACCTGTACAATACCATGACGGTACCACACCTGTACAATACCATGATCAGTTACCACACCACCACATTATCGTGTCCTGTAAAACAACAGTACAATACCGTGACAGTTACCACACCAGTACAATACCATGACAGTACCACGCCCGTACAATTCCATGAAAGCACCACACCAGTACAATACCATGACGGTAGCACACCTGTACAATACCATGACAGTACCACACGAGTACAATTCCATGAAAGCACCACGCCAGTACAATACCATGACAGTACCACACCTGTATAATACCATGACAGTACCACACCAGTAAAATACCATGACAGTACCACAGCAGTACAATAATATGACCATTACCATTCAAGAACCACACAGGTACAAAAGTACCGCGACACTACCTCAGTGAAGTAAGACAACACTTGATTCTTTCCCAGCACAAAAGTTAATTTACCATGCCATGACAGATTGGTCATGTGAAAGTCATGAACGTGTATTCTGTTACGTTGCACTCTCCACGCTGACTCACCAACACTCACCCAGACCGCCATTTAAGCAGAGGTCGAGACAACTTAGAGTGTATAGTGTGACCTGGAAGTGTTTGTGTGAAGATATACGCGGCTGGCTGACTTGGCATTTACCTGAGTTCGGTATACCCGACCTTCGTGCCCGACAACAGCCGATCCCACCGACCCGTCTTTAGACGAGCTAGTTCGTTCATCATATCAAGGGGAATCGTTTCTCCTCCAAACAGCCTCCGGTTGTATGTGGTCAGCAAAGGCTGTCTTTGCAAAACATTATCATGAACTCTCAGTTTCTGAAATTACGTTAATTCGTAAATGTAATCAATGTGTAGATCATTGTAGGTACGTGCGTGCGTACATGCGTGCGTGCGTATTCGGAGGAGGGTGTGTGAGTGCGTGCGTGCGTGCGAGCGAGCGTGTGTGTGTGTGTGTGAGTGTGAGAGAGGGGTGTTCATACGTGTACACAAATACAAAATTTCTACTGTTGATCTTGATCTAGTGCTTCAATATGTTTTGTATTCCTTCTTCGTTTATTGGTGCTGCTCCAGTAAATTTATGACAAGCAGAACTATTATATATGTCAGGGGAGCATTTGTTTGTTAAATAAATGTTGGATTTTTTATCTGCCCCCCTTAACTATTGACCCATAAAATGATTCGCTCCCTCGTGAGCGATTGTAAACAGTCAGGTCACGTGATCACCGTCAGTGTATATTTATACTCGGTTTTGTTTGTGGGGTCCGTGTCTCACGGTAGCTGCTACCTCGAAACATACTGAAGCGGATCTATCTTCATAATCGTAAGTTCCCGTCATTTCTGAGCTATTCGATTTGTTTGTCTTGTGAATACAAACCAACCCCACAGAATATCTCAGGGATATCTTCACTGCACCAGGTGACACAGTTAGATCTTGTCGGTGCATTTGACTTTCCCAGTCGCCATGCCTACTTACATTCAAATTTTCATGTCAACTCTGGTATATCTCAATCAGTGAATGTAGGATGTCGTTTAGACGGAGGTTTGGGCGATATCAATTGCCCGTGAACTATTTGCTTTGAGGGTCTAAACTGGTGGCTTACGTTCCACTTTGTCATTTGTAATCTTAAGCACGACACGTTACATGTTAACAGGCGCAGTGTATGCGTGTGTTTGTGTGCGTGTGTGTGTGCGTGTGCGTGTGCGTGCGTGTATTAGAATGTCAAGATTTATATTTCAGATATTATCAAATTTGGCTATGTATCGTTCTCTTCTGAGGACGCCCCACTCACTGTTAATGCCACATGTTATAGGTATAAGAATTTAACCGGGAGCTGTCTTGAATCCAACAAAAATCATTAAATTATTAATTTTAATTTACTGTTTAACGAAATTTCGTACATTAGCTGCAATTCACTGCTACAATCGAGTCTGATCCTCTCTATAGGAAAAATGGCTTTCATTTGGAACAATTCAGAAGGTGATGAAAGTATTCTTTGGAAAACATTTACTCTATAACCAGCCTATAACACATGATAGTTCGTCGTAAAGCCCTTCTCGAAAACGCTTCAATATTTTCCAACGAAAATTGGCAGACATACCAAGCAGATCCTGAAGTAGTGCCTTGTACTATTTGCGGACTTTGTTGGCATTTACTTATTAAACTGTGCCATACCAAGACCAGGTTGTCAAGTTATGGCTTTTGCTATTTGGGGATTTGTTGAATTTATATATCTTCAGTTTCCATGTCAAGGACTTCCAAATCTCAATTACATGGTATTTTTTATATAGCTCATACTATTCTTGCATTCGGATAGAAATATTAGATAGATCTTCACAGGACTCTCACCAAGGTTGAATTAAAGTAATAGTCAGATGATATATTCTTTCGTCTGTACAAGGGGATTAGTCTTCCTCTGGTGACTCTTGTTTTCAATTTAGTCAAACATCATGGTTGGGACTTTGGAATGGATTAGTTACAACTGCTTTGGAGTACCGGATCACACTAATGCTGGCTTTGGCAGCGACGGTAATGGTGTATTTTATGACCCGGAAACGTTACAAGCTTCCACCGGGACCACGTGGTCTCCCGTTGCTTAGCAATATTCTAGGTAAGCGGAACATCAAAGCAGACGGAAAATGTTAAAAAATATGAAGTCTCCATATTTGAAACTGTCCTGAGTTTAAGTCTGCGCGAATATTCTCTAAAATTTGAATTTTAACTCATAAATACATTTCAGGTTTCAAAGTTATATGCTTCTATAGCTTAGAATTTTAAGTGTGGCCCTGCCCATATATGTATATATGTTTTCAACGTTTACAAATAATCAAAATACATGTGTTTTGTTACATCAATTGCAGCAATACAAAACAAGTCACTGTTCCGGATGCTGATACAGTTGGAAAAGAAGTACGGCCCCGTGATAACCCTTAACCTTGGTAAAGCGGCTTTGTGATTGGTTCAAATTGTTCTAAGTTTCAAGGATACAACCAATGATGTAACGACAATTAATACGATATTCTTCCATGGGTGGCACAGTCGTCTGGTGGGCCATATTTCCCTGTAAAGCATAGAGGCCTTTGTGCACGCCACTGGCCCGTGATTGTGGCTTCGAATCCTAGTTAGTCCCGATTATGTGTTTTTGTGTGTCAGTCCATAATTTTTCTCAGAAATGTTTCTGTTATTAGAAGTTGATAGGAATTTAAAACTTAGGATCATTAGGTTTTGACAATATACAGATGGTAACCATTTGATCTAAGAGCATTTTAGACATTACAAACAAATAAAAGGTGGTGCTCATCTTCTGCTCCTAAATTGCACAATGCGTCCCGTTACATTAATATTTTGTCATTTACCTTCATTATACTTTTTAGTCTCAGTAATCCACATCCAAATGTAATCAATATTGTACGGAGTTTTCTGTGGACAATACGTACAAATATTTTTCAGGAGCTAAAAGAGTTTTATATACAATATCCTGAGCGTTTATTTAATAAAAGCAAGTCCATGACTGAAAAGACCTAACATTAACATGGTATGTTTGTCTGTTGTTTAACATCGCCCTCAGCATTATTCCAGCTACAAGACGGCGATCTGTAGGTGATCCAGCCTCTCAGTCAGCCTGCGACCACCCGATCCCGGAGTCGCCTCGAAGCATGGGTTGTTAAAGATTAATTCTAACCCGAATCTTCACTGGTCCAGACTTCTGTTGGTCTGTGAGACTCAGGCTATGGATTTCACCTGTGCACAGGCTGTGGTCTTATAGCTGGGGTATTTTGTACTGCGACAAAATCTGTTCGGTGTTTATTATGAACGACTGTAAACATGGCTTGTTTCCCGTAGGTCCAATACGCACTTCGTGTTTCTCAACAACTTGAGGTTGTGCAGGAAGCGTACGTAGGGAAGTCTGTGGACTTTGCGGGACGGCCGCAGACGTTCCCTCAGGTTCGTTCAATAAAAAACATAATAAAATAATATGATAAAACCAACAAAATAACTTCTTGCAAGCACAATTATATTTCTCTATTCAACAAGCGATGGTAAACATAGCTAAAGCTTAGGGTTTACCATTTCTATAAACTTTGAAAGTATATTTGCAATCACTGTGAAGTCTTACAATGTCCACATTATTCGCGTGAAGATTTCACTGTTCATGTGACTATTTCAGGATTGGCTTTCACCGAGGGAGGGCAAGGACATTGCTTTCAACAGATTATGGACCGACGTGGCAACCCCGATCGAAACTGGCACTGAGGGCCCTCTAATAAGTCGAGAAACAAATGCAGAGATTCTTATCCTTGCACAGCGTCTTATGCCTTTGTTTCTGACGGATGCCACCGGTGGAGCAGGATACCTTCGCGTTTTCTGTCAAAGACCACCGATACTTCTCACACATGCCTCATAAT